TATATTGGGGTATATATTGGGGCTATATTGGGGTATATATTGGGGTATATATTGGGGTTATATTAAGCATACTTACTATATCTTACCCTTTGGGGGTTTCCCGAAATTAGGGGTACCATTTTGGGGGTCCCCAATAATAGGGACTAAAGTATATTGGGGTCTATATTGGGGTTCCCCTCATTTTGGGGAAATTACCATATCTTGCTATTCTACTACTATTCTTCTTCGGACTGATAAACACATGCAGCCAAGGCCACCTGTTCATCATGGACGGCCTCCGAGTGTAAAGCTTCGGATGGCCTGTATGCATTCAGGCAACCCTCTTCTGCCAGAAGCACAAAGTACATAGGCTCAACCGCAAGCCCTCAAGATTAGCTGCAAAGATCAAATCTTTTGGGCTCAAGTCCCAGACATTTTGAGCGTGTCACCACCGGCAAAATGAGCATCATGGCGGTGGGCTTACTTGCGGCGTTTGGAGGGAACTCACACATTCTCCATCTGAGCAAACCCGCCCTTTGCGCAGCCTGGTCTCTTGTCCACTGAAAAAGCGCCTTAGCTGTCTTCTGCATACGAGCAATACTCAGGAATAAGGCCCTGTGACAGCACCGCGACTTGCCGCAAGTACTGGAATCCATGCACGTTGCCCCACTGATAGAATCACCATCGCTGTCAGAAGAAAATTGGGCACCACAAAAAAATATGGCTCGGAAGACAAGGTGGCAGGAAGTCCCACCAAAACATGTTGCACACTAGCTGGGCCTTGCAGGCGTCAGATTAGTGATGCCGAGGTAGATCCAAACTCTCTGCCAAGTTGCTTGTTGCCTCTGAGCCAACCCCGAAGCTGGCAGTCTGTGGCAAACAGGAGGGTTGAACGGGGGCCGCAGCCGCTCGAGGATCTACGCTTCTGGTCCCAGCGTCGACCGAAGCTGGCTTTTGCTAGATTTGATGGCTAGGAGCTGAAGCAAGGTGCAGTCGTTTGCAGGATTGAACGTGGTAAGGCATCCACAAAGAAGAGGGAGCAGTAAGAACATCGTTTCAATCAAGCTTGGACATAGCCCGCAGGGCATCATATGCATGACAGTTCATCCTGGCCAACAGTGCAGTGCCAATCTGATTTGAAAATTATCAAGGAAGTAGGAATGTAAAAGGGACCCCTATGTTGTGCCGGTCGGCTCCTACGACCAGCAAGGATCATCGAACTCAGACTATTGCACTATTCTCGCACAAGTAGTTCCAGGCCATTGGAAGAACAGAAGCTGTTCCCTAGCACTTAACTTATGATACTCCTGCTGAGCACTCAACAATTGTCATCTGCCTCTGACTCCGCAGAGACTTGCCGGCCCATGGTCGAATTTTGCAGGTCAGCATTGAGGTCCATGGGCAAGCACAGATCCATTGGATCCTCCTGGCTCTCCTGAGCAGAACTTCCTCATGTGAGATAAACGTCTTTGAACTCCCGTAACTCAAAGGCCGGCCTCTGGCGCAGGAGCTTCCGTCATACTTTGACTGTCGCTTCCGGAGACGCCTCCTGTTGCCAAGGCCACACGAGAAGGACTTCAGGCCCTCTAAAACGACTGTTCTCCGACCTTCCGAAAACAGACCCAGGCTATCACACTGTAAGTGCAGCTGGCATGTTTTGCTGCAAATGTAAGAACTCATGCAATCATTGCATGTGCGCGATGGTCTGCTTACAGCCTACCATTAGGATCCCTTGGGCCTGAGGCACCTTTCGTGTCACCATCTTGCATGTCGCACAGCCATTCAATGAATGCGACCTTGGCCAGGATTTGGGGGCTGGGTTCAGCTGTGACTGTGACAGGAAGCCAAACCTCTTGACCTTGCACGCCCAGGAGGTCCATCCAATTCATCCGTACCGGAACAAAACATCTCCTCGTGTGAAGCTGGGCACATGCAGGAGTTCCTGGTGCTCGTCTTCTGAGATCCCTGTCCTTAGGAAGCACAGACCAGTAGATCCAAAGGCAAGTGCCCAGGCCAGCCATGCTTGAGGTCCCACAGCGAGTCCAGTCTTGTCTTTGCTCCAAAGTACCAACGATCCCAAGTTGGAGTCCAAGGTGCGCTTCGCGAAACAGGGTGACTACCCGCTGGGCCTCGGCATTTTTTCGAAAAATGCTCAAAGAGATCTTTTTTTCAAACAAGTCACTCGCTTCACTCGCCTTTTGCTTCCGAGGCACGGCGGCCGGCTCCAGGCCGAGGCTCGTCAGCACTTCCGCCAGATGCCGGGGCCTCGCAGGGAGCCCACCCCGAATATGAAAAAAATGGAGGTTGCCACGTTTACTCCTGGCCTTAGGCCTCCCTGCAGATCTCCATCAAGCCGTCGAAGAAGCCTCACAGCTGCACTGCTGCGAATCGCAGAAAGACCATGCAGTGCACCTCGCCCATCCCATGCAAAAACCTTTCAAGTCGAAGTCAAGCGGCTCCAGCACACGCTGCTGCCGGCCGCTCTCCATTGCGGCGGGGGCGGTAAAAAGCAACGAGGCGAAGCGCGTTTGGCAAGAGCACTGGGGGGGGGGCTTGGTAAGCAAATGTGGAGTGCTGGTGTGGGTGATTGTGCGGGCTGCGTCATGCAGGCTCAAGGCGTTTATGGCTGCGGGATGCAGATCCTCAAGCTTCAGCAGCCCCAACCCGCAAGACCCAAGGTGCTGGGAAAGGTATCATGAGATAAGGACTGGATTGATGATGCCGTCAACAGTCTGATTGAGCCAGAGCATCGGAAGTTTGCAGATTGCTTTGCATCCTCCTGCAAGCCCTGTGTCGTCTGGCTACGAACGCAAGAGCGGCAACACTGCTTTCCTAATCCACACAAGAACCCCGTCACCATACCGAAAGCACAAGTGTCCATCGCAGCAAACACAGCACGACGATGGCCAGCAAGTGCACCTGGAAAGACAAGCGAAGACAACTTTCGGGGTCAAAAAGGCTAAGGCTGCCAAGTAACTAAGGCATTGCATCTGACAGCTTCAGTTTCTGATTGGGTATCACGAAATGCTGTGATCCCATGCAAGCTTAACGAACACCGAAAGCACCATTGCTCCAAGGTCCCCACGAGCAAGATGTGGAAGCGAACGTCACTAATGACAGACGCAGCAACCACCTTTGACCAGCTCAGGCTGAGTCTTGGAGATTAGGCTCTCCTCAATACAGACTGACTGTTAGCAGTTGGACCTCCAAAACACATGGAATTTCGCGCAAAG